AAGTAATATAAAATATACTTTATTTTGCATTACATGCTGTGTTTAATATTAAAACACCCACCATTTTTAACACCTACAAGTAACACCAAAATGTGTAGTAAATTACACCAAATTGAGCATTTTCTACTCTTGAATGGAGTTATTTTACCAATATTGCGTGTTGCTTTTACCCCTAAGAGTGTATTATATTTGATGATTTTTACACTGTTACGAGTTTTTTGTACGAATAGTACGTGTAGATTTTTAACCAATTTAAAAGGGTAAAATTTACCAAATTGTATGTGGTTAGATATACCATTTCTAGTGTGGACCTATATAGACCACTTTTAGTGTTGTTTTTTACCAGAAATTTTTTACTGTGTACTACTGTTTTAATAAAGTTCTTCATCACATGGAAGTACATTTTTATTCAGTAATGGGGCAATTTTATGCAGTTAAAATGTGAAACAAAATTCCGGGAACTTTTATCGCACCCTGGATATTATAACCAGGGCCGGGACTTTCCTGCGCAAACGTTTACCGTCGCACCACTAAACCTAGATATTTTATCTACTTCTTGTTTAATAATTTGTACAATCACTATGAATCATTATGATTGAACAAATTTAAAATTTGTTACATTTTTCAACCACCCCAGCTCTGATAAAAGTATACGCGTGATGATTCATTTTTCATACTCAGTTAAGGGATGTCCCATAGTATCAGCCCTATAGTATCAGCCTGTAAGTCAATCTCGTCTTATAGTGGCTTGGTGGGATAAAAACTATGTGGTGGTAATGGGCTCGAAAGCACTCAGAAGATATTAAAAGACCTCCGTCGTAGATTTTTAATAGGTTTTTATAATTTAAAAGTGTATAAGAAAAAACTAAAAACTGAATATTTTCACTTGTTTATCAACCTTAAGGCTACAAAATATCCAAAGGAGAACTTTCTGGACCAACTGATTAAAATTTTATAAATATTTAAAAAAGTGGTGCTCTAATTTTGTCCAACAGTTTATTTTTTAAATCATATATTTTTTACCTTAAAAAATAACACAAGTCCTATTGAAGTTTTATGATATTAGTTGATGTATATTATTTTTAGTCTTAAATATGATTCTAAGTATCTATAAAAGGTCAGCAGGGGTAATATTAATCCAAAGCAGATACAAACGTTTCACGGTCAATGATCGACTTCAGTTGACTTTTGGTTGTTTTATCTGTTTTATATCCGCTGTATATTATTCCGATGCTGATAACGATTCATTCATGATTACGATTTGTGCATGAATGAGAATTTTAAAAGTTTACTTTGTTTTTAGAATAGTTATTTATGTCATAAGGATTTGAAGTAAGTTTTTTTGTGCTGAGCTTACTTTGAATGCCAATGGGTAGCGAATGCCTACAATTGAGGGAAGCACAAAAAGCCACTTTTCAGCCGCATGGCATACAACATTTTATCTTCAAGGCATAATTTTATTTGTTAAACAATAATTCAGGTACCTACATTATACACGTGTACAATTATAATAATATTTAAAAGTTGAAAGTGAGGTTATATTAGATCTGACAGTAGGTAATTAAATTCTTTGATTGGTCCTAACGGGTTTTTACAGACTAGGATGTAAAAAACTATATCCGATTGGCCTAAATTATCTCACAGCCTAGGAGCTTTTTTGATTGAAGATTTATGTCATAAGGCTAAGAAGTGAGTCTTTTTGTGTTGTACTCAAAGTTTGAATTCCGAAGCGTAGCGGAGGCCTTCAATTGAGCAAAGCACATAAAGATACTTCTTAGCCGCATGACATACAACATATTATTTTTAAAGCATAATTTTATTGGTTTTTTTTATTGTTTTGTATTCTCTCATTCAATGCAAAAGTCGCATTTGGCAATCTAGCATCAAAAATAATTATTCAGTGCAGGAGGTTCTTTGATTGAAGATAGTTATTTATTTATTTATGTAAGTTTTTCTTGTGCTGAGCTCGAAGTTGGAAAGGGCCTAATATTGAGCACAATACAAAAAACAAGTCTCAGTTCAAGGCACAGTTTTATTTGTTAAACAACGCATAAAATGTACTTACAATTATTTAATAACAATTATTAAAATATAATGTGACCTTAGATTACTTCAGATCTGTCTGCAGTTATCAAATTTTTGTATTGGTCCTAGCGGGTTTTTAACCGACTAGGATGTAATAAACCTCACCTGAATGGTCTAAATTATTTTTACAGCCTGGGAGATAATCAAGTCCTTTGGTGTGAGCGTTTACAATAAAAAACTTAAATTATAGAAGGCTTGAAGATAAAAGTATTTTATTAGTTTAAACTATTTCAATACAGTGAGATTTAACCCAACCAACTACATTTTTTTATTTGTACCGTTCTAAAAATTTTAGCTTAAAGATTTTTAAATTTTTTTGAAAATATTTGTGATAATAGTTTAACGCAGATTCATCCACTCGTAACCACAAAATATTATATATTATATATGCATATATGCATATATATAACCGTCTCCCTATTTTTCAAGTCTAATAAAACAAATTTTATTTAAAATACAATAAATGTATTTTTATATTTCAAGAGTACCATTAAAATAGTTTTAAGTTGTTTTACAATTAATATCGGCCAAGAACAACACTTTCGCAAGCGATTTTTGAAGTTTTGTAAGAAATGGATTTGATTTACATGAATGCAATGTTATTTAGTGGAAGAATGATCCATGATCAAACTTCGCCCTTTTGATGTATTACTTTTTATATCAAATAAAGTCGTTTTATTATTATTATTATTATTTTAGGTACTTAAATAGTTAAGTTAGTTAGAGTGACTATAAAGGAAAATAAGAAACATTAATGTACCTCAAAAAACTCTTTGTCCATTTTAAAAAACAAAAAACCTCTAAACACTTATTTAAACAGTTCGAATAAAACATCAATAAAACAAACACTACGATACAAACGAAATAATAATAAACATAAATGGCGTAGGTATGATAAGCAATTGCATTAATTTGCATGCGAAATGCATGCGCATCACGCCAAATTATTGCGATTTTCGCAAAATATTGGATCAATCTTAAGATTCCCGCCCCCTCGATTTCGAAACGCTTTTCTTGCCAAATTAAATGGACCAATGAAAACATTTTTCGCAATTCGTATTTCGCAGTTGTATGAAACCGACTTAACACTTACTAGAATTTCTTGCTGTATTTAGCAAATTTACAAACGGATTGCCTACTTCATTTGTCCTTGGACGATGTTTTAAGACTTCAGCTTTAGGATAACCTTTAGAAACTTTCTAATAGAAAGTCACAGTTTGAAGCGCCGCGGCAAAAATGGGGATAGTGCAAAACTTATTATGAATAATGCCCCAACAGCCCACACATCCCGAGCATCAATGCAACTTTAGAGAAAAATGTTTCCGGGCGCTTGTTCTTCCTAAGAAACGATCCACTCCAAATTTGACGCCTTAAGACTTCTCTCTATATACAGAGAAAACTCTTAAGGCGTTAAATTTGGAGTGAATCGTTTCTCAGGAAGAACATGCGCCCGGAAACATTTCTCTCTATAGGGTTATTTTAAAGCCGAAGTCTACAAACATTGTCCAAGAATCCGTTTGGAAATTCGTCGCATATTATCACTTACAGTCTCCTTTCCTATGTGTGAAATAACTAAAACAGTTAATACGTAAGGGCTATGCCAAAAATCTTTGCCCCAGGCCCGCAAAACCTAGGGACGGACCTGTCTATAAACATTTTTTTAGAATAAATTAAACTAAATTCAATATAATATAATAACACGGTATTCTCTTTGGGTTAGGCCGCCAATATTAATTTTAATATTTATAACGATAATATGTCTTTGGCAATTAGTTCCATATATGTTTATATTATTTTATGTTTATTGCTTCCTTTAATATAACTGATAAACCCAGTATCACATTCATTTACGAAATAACAGTTAAAATCGATAAAAAAATATGTTTACGTAGTCTGCAATTGCATGCAGTCATTATAACTATATTTAGTTTAGTAATAATTAGTGAATACTGTACAATGTTTTTTCAGGATGAATCGGAAGGAATGTACCTAACAATAATTCAAAATAACCTGAACTGTTGTATCCCATTTGTATTTTTTATTTAAGTTAAAGCGTTAAAAGTTTGTTGGCATCTAAGATCTCCCGACCTTACACAATAATTTATGGGGTTGGTAAAAAAAAACACTTGGAATGCACTTATTTTAGCCGATATTAAAAAAAGGCAAAATTAATTAGGAGAGCAAGGGACATAGAAAAATTATAAAATATTAGTTTGGTGGTAGGTAATAATTTTATGGTAGAGTTTATTACAATAATATAAATAAAAAAATGTAATGGTGTTATAATTTGAAAACAAAAATCGCATACAAAATTACCCTGTAGAATCTACAGTGTATATGACAGGCCACAAAATACCATACATGTATTAACTTGCACGTTTAAAAAAGAAATGTATTGGTATTTTACATTGTAACGTAGTTTTTCGTATAGTGCCAATACACACACCGATATTTAAGGTATCTAAGTTCTCGAATTTTTAACATGGACCTTATTATATTATTTGTTGTGTCTGTGTAAAACATATATTTATTAAAACAAACTTTACAGAATTTTTTATGTAATGTATTAAAATTGGGTAGTAGCTTTTATATAGCATTTTATATTTGAACTTGATTGACAACAAACATGCATGTAAGTAATTGTGTCGAGTATGTACTTTTTTAATTCAGCCACTTCAAATGCACTTTACATTATACACTACTTGTTAAATAAAAAATCAAATTTCACATACAACATTTAATTTTTTTATTTTGATCCTTATAATTAATTTAAAAATGTTTTATTATTTTTTTTTGTATAAATTATGGAACCGGTTTAAAAATTGTTATATGCAAACCATTAAAAATAAAACAATTTAATTGGTTATTTATCAATATAAATTGTAAATTAGGTAAAGTATAAAAAATGTTTTTACCTCCATAATTTCCCCAAAGTTTTTGATAGTTCTGCGTTATGAAGTTGAGGATATTGATCAGCTAATTTTCTTCTAGCAGCTTGTGCCCACACCATAAAAGCATTCATGGGCCTTTTAACATGAAGTTTTCTTTTATCTGAAGCAGCCCTGGAAAAATAAAATGAAATAATCAAGCTACCTGGAAAATATAAAAAGTCTAAAGCTTCAAAAGCTTTCAAATTTAATAACCTAAATGAAATGTTTTTACACTGCGTCTAGTTAATTATCAACAGAATAATTTTTACCAACACTTAAAGCGGCTAGTTATTAAGTAAAATTCAATATTTACTTACTTAACACTATTTAAAGCCGTTAAAACTTGTACTTATTTAACTGTTACAGATCTCGACTACTTGTCATTTTTTTTATTTATATACCTAACAAACGCGTAATTACACCTTTTACGTTGTTTTTAGAAAATGTTTCCTTATTAGCAGTAATATATTACTGCTAATTTGCCTAATTAAAAATATGTTGTAAATTTGAGAATAATTTCATTATATGTTATGACCACTTTGCAACTTAATTTACACCTAAATTTAGAGAGCAATTATTAATAAATATGCAAGATTCTTAAATGTTGTAAATAGTTTTTGTATTTTATAAGTAGTACATATACAGGGTAAAAAAACTACCAGTCTAGTTTTTTCTACATGTAAAAATTTTTTTTTTTAAATACTGACACATTTTTGTTTTTGTTTGTTTAAAGTAATTAATTAATTTTTAAGCGATTTTGTAATACGTACATTTTACACTCTAAGTTTTAACTTTAATTTTATACCATTTCTAAAACAGCTTTATAAACTATAGTTCAATTGTGAGAGGTCTTGGAGGGTAACTATAACTACATGTTTATATACTGATAAGTTGACACATAAGTTATTTTTACAATAGACATGTCTATGCATAAACGGTAAAATAACGAAACAAATACGAAAAGTTACCCAATATGGAAAATGGTTTAATACGTTATTTTTACCACATAATCAGGCCAATTCACATGTATAAGTCGTTAATTAGAATAAGTTGTTATCGGCCAATCCGGCCAATCGTGCCGATGAAATATAACGATAACCAATAATTATAGTGCCTAACGTTAACGACTTGTTAGTGAATTGGCCTGAATAATTATCCAAGCGACCAAAAGAATAACGTAAAAATAACGTTAAATTACTTAATGTCAGTTAACTTTATCTAAACCTTTAAACATTTATAATTTCTACCTAAGTAATACTTGTAAGTAGGTATGTAATAAAGTTTATAATAAAGTAAAATTAATAAGTAGGTATATTACTTATATTGACAAAACTAATTATTTTTACCATTAAAACTCAAACGAATCTTATCTTATTAATAAAAATAAAGGCAAAAAATACAATTACAATTACAAATTCAATAAAGTGGACCTATAGAAATATATTAGTACCACATTAACTATCTTTATTGTTAGGTAAGTAATAAACTATTTCTTTACCTGTAGGTACTACTATCAGATAATGTTTTATTATATACACAGTGATGTTTGGTATTGCTTCGCTTAATTTCTTAAAAAATTATTATCTATAGATAGATCTTCTCTTCTCTTTAAAAATACAAGACAAGACTTAGTATTAGCATTACTTTTTTCACCTAAATATCATCTATTTGTTTACATTTGGTTATTTCTATTGTATGGGTGCAACACTGACACTGAGTTTTTTGTTCAGATATAATATTATTAAGATGCGTTAATATACAAAAATAGTATAAAAAATTAAATATTTAACTCAAAATGTCAATAAAAACTTTTATAGAAAACCTTTAATAACGTCATGAATCGCTTAATGGGCGCGACATTAGAAAATCGGAAATGCAACCAAGTTGGCTTCCAAAGTTGATCCTGTAAAATTTTGGATGACATATGGCATATTGTAATAATTTTTTGTATAAAACTTGAATAGTAACTTCAAACAAGTACGTATATTAAATGCACAAATTTTGTACACTTTATTTGCTAAAATTTTCTCAAAATGTAACGGGTGCGACATTGAAACTCTTCCATACTTATTCTTAAAGTTGGCTTCTTAGCATTAAAACGTACGAAGAGTTTAAGGTTATAAATTACGTCGCAATTAAACTATTTGACTTTAGATATAGTTTTTGTTTTGTTAAATAACCCATCTGATTTTTTGTTAATGACATAAGAAAAAATGCATAACTCGCTAATAATATATATAAACAATGTGTATCAGTCAAATGGAATAAATTCGCTAATACATAAATGGGGGCATGTTCCTAAAAATGCTCGGACACGTCGATTAGTATTTTTAGTTGCGCACTTTTTTCAACAAAATCTTTTTGTACAGGGTGTCTCATATATCAGTGGACATTACCAACTTTCAAATGTCAAATGAAACACCCTGTATTTTATTCAATTTTTGGATTCTTATCTTCAACTGTTTCGGAAATATTGAAAAATTAACATTAAAGAACGATTACACTGTGATACAAAATTAAGGTTTGCGAAAGGGAATGGAATAAAACCAAAAGCAAATGAAAGTTAATAGTTTCCACAAGAAAACCCTATCAGGGTTTTTTTATATCACGTCTCAGTTATTTTTTGTACGCATTTAAAGATGGTCAATTTTTTGACACCCCATAGTGGGAAAAAATTAAGTAAAACTATGTTAATTTTTACAAAATAATTTTGGCAATTTGATCGAGGAATTTATTTGTGATGTTAATTTTTACCAAAGACCCTCAGAGGAGGACGCTATCATATAATTTTTGTTACTTTTTACGTATTTTTATTGGTAAAATGGTATTTTTACCATTTTTGAAGGTGAGAAATTTATTTTTGTCATCCGTTTGTTGTAAAATATACCCTAGGTGATATTACAAAGCAATTTTTAATATTTTTGATATATTAGTATAAAAAACTTGTTTTTTTAAGAACTTCTTAAACTCACTGATTTACTATGTGTTTTTAAGTAAACAAATCAATTTTACCTTTAACCCTTTCACTACGGGGCTCGCCCGCGCCATGTGGTCCCCCCATACGGGCAAATCCAAGCCTTGCGCAAACGTGCGTTTCCCGTTCTCAGGATCAAACTCAACTTCGTCTTCGTCACTATTATACATATAGCGCCTGCTCCAGCTCTTTTTCAGTAAGGTATCTCTTACTCATTGTTGCTAATTTAATATATTTTATAACAAATTATTGCAAATAAACTGCATTTTTGCCACCCCGAAATCGTTTTGCGGCAAACTAACCTAAATGTTATTAGAGCGGGAAACGGTTCCGCCAGCGCGACAAAGACCGTCTAATTGTATCGATGTAGACGCAAACGTGTGTTTCCCGTCGTTAATAGTGACTCCACCTAATTGAAAAAATGCGTCTCCCGCGTATCTGTGAGGTCAGTAATTTACGCATTTTTGCGACTCCCGGAGTGAAAGGGTTAAACAACGTCGTTTTTGCTACAAAAACTACAATTCTTTGTAGTAATAGTTGGGCCATTCCACGCTTAACGGATAGGACAGTTGCCGTGTTTTTATTTACAAAATAATATTGTTCTATTATATTACCAATGTAAAATTTTTATAAATAGTTCTAAACAAAAGCTGTTTAACAAGGTTTTTATTTGGCAAAATTAGGTATAGTGATTGACTGTTTAATTCCTTAAAAATTAATAATTTAAAGCGTAACGGGCGGGACTATTACAAAGTCCCGTCCGTTACGCTTTAAATTACTAGTTTTTAAGGAATTAAACAGTCAACCACGATACCTAATTTTGCCAAATAAAAAATTGTTAAACAGCTTTAGTTTAGAACTATTTATAAAAATTTGACATTGGTAATATAATAGAACAATATTATTTTGTAAATAAAAACACGGCAACTGTCCTATCCGTTACGCGTGGAATGGCCCAGTTGTATTGTTTTTAGGAATAAATAAATTTACGTATTTAAAAATAATAACATGTTTTTTGATTTAAACATTAAATAGAATATTTTTTTTAATAAAAATGCTAAATTTTTTTATTAAAATGCTCTTTACGTCAAAAAATATGTTTATATACTAATATATCAATAATACTAAATATTGGTTTGGAATATCTTCTAGCGTATATATTTACAGCAAAAATGGATTTCTCAGCCTTAAAAATAATAAGAAATCATTTTACCAATAAAAATAGCAACAATTGTGTGACTGTATACCTTAAGTAAAAATTAACATACAAAATGGATTCCTTGACTTATAGAATAATTTTGAAAAAAAATTGTTTTACTTCATGTTACTCACTTACTATAGGCCAAATATCTACCAACTTTAAATGCATATAATAAACAACTGAGATGTGATCTAAAAAAATCCTAGTAGGGTTTTGTTGTAGGAGCTATTACCTTTCATTTGCATTTGATTTCATCCCATTCCCTTTTGCACTGTTGCACTGTGTTATTATCATAATTTTAATTATTTAATTACATAAATTCGCTACACACTGAAAAACAAATAAGTTATACTATTTATTTTTTGATATTGTAAAAAAAACAATTGTCAATGGGAGATGTTTAAAATGCTCACCGAGAACGACTTGGCAACATCCTAATCTTAAATAGAAATTACTTCTAACGTTACTCAACATCTGAGGTGAGACCGATCTAATCGCCAGCGTTATTCGTATTCTTAAGTCAGCTAGGTCGAGGGGTTTGGTTTTGTATACAATACTTTTGACATCCCCATAGGAAGAAGTCTAATGGCGTCAGATCAGGGGATCGTGCTGGCCATTCCATCGATCCTCTTCTCCCTATCCACCGATTTGGAAATATTTGGTTGAGGTACTGTCGTACATTTATTCCATAATGGGGCGGTGCTCCATCTTCCTGAAACCATATCATAATCGCTGGAACTTGTGGGTTTGCTGGATCAGGATATAAGTTTGTTACAGTTGGTACGATAATATTTTGGAGCAGTGCTTAATAATAATTGCCATTTAAATTACCATCAATAAAAAAGGGATCTATGATATTATCTCCAACAATTCCTGTCCAAACATTAACGTTCTCAGGATATTGCGAATGTTCTTCTCTCATCTAGTGAGGATTTTCCTTAGACCAATAGCGGCAAT